TCCTGTATTGGATTATGTTTATCTGCAGTTAGTTACACGAATTTAGTTATGGGATGAAATCGGATAGGGATGAAATCGTTTAGAGATGAGCGGGTTTAAGAGTTTAAGAGATTAAGAGTTTAAGAGTTTTTAAGAGTTTTAGCCAAATGCTTTATAATATAGTATAGATAATTGATTTTAGATTAGTTATGATTATTCTGTTCTTTGTCATCTGAAATTGTCATTTCACACAAAGTTCAGTGTAATAAGGTTTTGATCAAGATAATATAAATAAGATTTCTTGTTAATTGTTAAAAATTACAATTATTGAGTTGCAGTTTAGAAATTCTGATTTTAATTCTTATTGTTTGCAATTTATTGTTATTTTCGTCTCTAAGCGTAACTTTTATGTATAAGTGCAAGCGAGGAAAAGAACAAAGAATTATAAATTATAAATCATAAGGATGGAAATAACAATAATTTACAAACCACAAAGACCAAAATTAAAATCTTTTACAAACCATAGGGACGAACAACACAATTTACTTTATAAGTAATAATTAGTTTAAAAATTAAATATTTTATAGAGGTGGTTTTTGAGATATTTATGAAAATAATAAGGGTTTATTTATTGCAATTAAAATATTTATGATAATCAATAAATCATTATCACTTGATTTTAAAAAAAAATTATTTAATAAAACATCGTTAAAGTAAAAATGAATTTTTTTAATTAATAAATATTATGTTAAAAGCAAATTATATTAGAGTAGTGTTCTAAGTTAACTTACTCGTTCCATAAATGTTTAAATTATATTGGACTAGTGTTCCAAGTTAACATATAAACCTAGAGTTCATATATGAATTACACGGGTTCACATACGTATTTGTGTTGCCGCCAATTTGTAAAAGTTAAGAAATTAGTCATTTATCTTCCGTATTCCATGTAAGGAATTATCCGCTGCTTCACATTCAAAACCGCAATTTTGACCAGATAAAAGGTTGGAATCATTTTTCTACTTCTCAAATACTAACCACTTCTCAAATGAGCCTATGGTTATATACGTATATATATAATTATAAAAGTTGAATAAAATATTATCATTTAACTATAGAAGCCTACTTTATTGACCTCTAAATATAAAAGCCAACACCATCTCCAACCCAACACAAAAAAACATAAAAAACACAAGAATTGAGGTGTTTTCATCTCCAAATAAACATTAAAAACAATATAGGTAAAAATGTTGGCCTATATATTTTAAGATCAATAAAGTAAACCTCTATAAATATAATATTAAGTTTTTTTTAATTATATATATACAATTAAGAGTTTAATATATTAAATTTATTATTATTATTATAATATTAAAGATAATTTTAATGTTTTTTAATGTGTAATTGAAATTGGTTTTTTTAGTATTCAATCATCCATTATTTTTTAATTTTTTAGTGTTATTTCTTTAATGGTTGACAAATTATTTTAAATAGACAAATAAATGATTTATATATTTTCATGTATATGTATATATATAATTAAAAAAAAGTTTGGTGTAATTACAAGGGTGATGTTTGATTGGTTTGAGTTTGGTTTCAAAGGTTAAAAGTATCGGGAGGTCCAAATTCAAATTCAAGAAGGAATAAAAATCATCTTGTTGCCACACAGGTTCAAATATGGTGACTTCGAATTATTTACAAAACTAATAGTCATCTTAAAGTTAATCGGCTTGCATAAGGAATTGGATATTCAAATTAATAAATAAAAAAAAAGAAATTGGTGCAGTGGATTAAAGTTTACGAATGAGCACATGTTCGTGCTCATTAAAAACGCCACTTGTTCTCCATCCGCTTCCTCTTTTCGTTTCATTTAATGCTAAAAACCTCCCCGCCTTCATCTCAATTCTAGAGAGAGAGAGAAGATAAGATCCCAATATTTGGTAACATAGAAGTAGAATTGGAGGATGAAGATCCAGTGTAACGTATGTGAGATGGCGGAGGCGACGGTGCTTTGTTGCGCCGACGAGGCGGCGTTATGTTCGACTTGTGACGAGAAGGTACACGCTGCCAATAAGCTCGCCAGTAAGCATCAGAGGGTTCATCTTTCTACTTATAATTCTCAGATGCCTATGTGTGATATCTGTCAGGTATAATCAAACTCACGAATTTAACTTGAGGATTATGATCAATTTCATTGTATTTTGTCTGATTGTGTGTGTGTGTGTTAATCAATTTTCTTAATTCTTCGATGATTGGCTTCGTTTTGGACTGTGTATGTGAGTTGTTGATGACGGATTATTTCTCAACGAAGTATGTGTTAGAAATAAAAATCGAAAGTAATAGTTACTTGAGATGTTAAGCACATTCGTTTAGGTTAAACTGGAACTGTAGTTTAGCTTGTGTTTTGACTGATGAGTGATGAGGCTCTTCGTTTTATCTCTCCTTGATTCCCTGTGATCGTGTGCTTTAATTTAGGCGAGAAATGAAAATTAACTATAGAACAGTAAAAAAGGACTTCCGTTGGAAATTAGGCAGTAATTGGTATCAATGTTATTGCGTTTTGAAGTTATAGTGTCGTATTGATGTTAGTTTTCAAATTCCCTATGTCATAGAAGTCCACATGTTTTTTAGTATAAAAAATTGATACATCACAAAAGTTTGGGTATAAAAGGTTGTATGTATGTATGCTTGTAGTTTATTAATTTGATAAGTTTAAGAGTCAAAAATTTCAAAATCTGAATCCCGACATTTCTATTCCGATACAGGGAGTAAATTTACTTTACTAGTAGCTTCCCCATTCCTCTAAATATGATCAAGTGGATATGATCCATCATTTAATAGAAAGATACGTGTTCAAACCTTCAAATTAATCTCCTTACTGATGAAATGCAATGCGTATCCCCAATTTACCTTGACCAATCAATATAACTGAACGGCCCTTAGGTAATTGAAGATGGTTAAGAAAGATTTGGAAGTTAATAACTAATATTATGAGACTGGTCTGTGGGGTTAATGTTTATCCTGTTAGGGAAGGGATATAAAAGTAGTGGTGGCCTTAAAGAAGGATATTTTGTTACAATTGATGTAGGGTTGGATTGATGAAGAAGATGACAGTGCCAAAGTTTGGTTGCTGTCATATTCTATTGGGTAAAATGAGAATCAGAATATCAGATTACATGGAAAAAGAAATAAGAAAACTTATATTCCTATCTAGATTACATAAATGACATAAATAGTCCCTACACTATGCATATGCTAACACCCACATCAAACTGAAGGTGGTTGATGAGAGATCAAATTGAGTTTCAAAAGTAGAGCTATAAAATGTTCTCTATTATGAGCTTTGCTGAATATATATCAACATCATGATCAACAGATGCGATAGGTGGAAGACTATGAACTTTGGGCGTGAGGGATTGTTTACATTTTATATTTTACCTCATCTAAGTTTATATATTTTATATAGTCCATAAAATTGTATTAGGTTTATGCGTTGCCGCGTCTATGTATATTTTCTAAGAAGTGCCTAGATCCCCTTATCATTTTGAGATAGAAGCTTACATATTTAAATGGGCAAGAATCACCTAGGTTCTAGAAATATAGAAGAGTAGTGATTATTTGAGCTTATTAGAAGGTTGTGCATTGTGACCATAGGTTGGCGGTTCGTAATATTCCTAGCAGTTATTTTCATGGCCCTATGAGATCAGTCGAGGTGCGTGCAAGCTGGCCCGGACACTCACTGTAATCATAAAAAAAAGTTGTGCATTGTGATTGTACTGTCACGCCTCTTGTGGAAAGGTTCCCTTTTCGTTGAAACTTGAAAGTATGGTATTATTGATACATGACTAACTCAAAGATTTTATCTATGACATGAGACTCTCTTATTTACCCAATTTACTGTTGTCTGAAATAAAGATTTCTCTCTCTTTCAATCGTGTATGGATTTATCAAGTCTTGAATGGTGTCTAAGCAATCATCCGGTTCAACAGGAAACAGTTGGCTACTTCTTTTGTCTGGAAGATAGAGCTTTACTGTGCAGAAAATGTGATGTTGCCATACATACAGCCAATACTTTAGTTTCATCACACCAAAGGTTTCTGCTTACTGGAGTGAAAGTAGGGCTTGAAGCAGCTGAGCTTGGTGCATCAACGTCTTCCATGAAGTTACACTACACCAAAGATATTTCAGATGCACCAAAATCACCTTCACCTTCTATAAGGAGTGTTTCATTGTCTTCAACTGATAAATACAGCAAACCCGAGCCAGTCCAAGCTGCTGGAGCTGGCGATTTCACCCCTCCTAGTTTGCCTTTTGCAGGAGGTTCTTCAGAGGATGGTATTCAACAATGGGAGTTCGATGAGTTTCTTGGGCTTACTGATCTCAACCAGAACTACAACTATATAGACAATATCTCATCCAAGGTCATACATCAGCTTTTCTAGATCAATTAGGGTGCGTTTGGTACGTGGAACATGACATGACATGCAAGTACAAAAAATTCTTGTCCCATGTTTGGCATGGCATTAGAGTAGGACAAGATAAGACTTAGTGGAATAAAATGCATTTTTTCTATCCATCCAAAATAGGTTGAACAAAAATCAAGAAGATGAGACAAGATTTAAAAATTAGTAAACTATCCATGTTAAATTAAAACCCTAAAACCTTCCACAATTCTTTCACACGTGTACCTTAGTCTTGAGCGTCCAATCCCATCCGGTCATGTCCGTGTACCAAATGCACCCTTAATATGTAAATTTATCATTATCTTTCTGTCTCCAACTCCCAAGATTGATGGTGGCAATAGTTACTGGATAAGATGAGGAATTAGGGGTTGTTTACCCAACGCCTACTTAGTAAGTGCTTTGGTAAGAGTAACACTTTCACATAACTTGCTACGTAAGATTTTAGTTCGTTAAAACAACATCGTGTTCAACATTTTTATCCGGTAAGCACTTACCGTGTAAGAGTCGTCACTCTCACTTACCGGGTAAGACTTTTGGTCCTTGTCATCGTTCTTACCGGGTAAGATTCTCAATCCTTGTCATGTTCATCCAATAAGGTAAAGTGACGCAATAAGCATTTACCGGGTAAGCGTTTAGTAACAGCCCCTTAGTTAAAAACATGGTAACGTACTTCCTATGATGTAACGTGTTACAGTCCTATATCAGCCAGACTCGGACCACATATTCTCAATATATGTTCGAACATCTCTTCTTTCAAGGACTCTTTTACAGAGTAATCTGATAGAGTTCCATATATTCTCAGATGATGATTGTTGTAAATTGTGACGGGTGAAGTTACTGCAGGCTACTAATCTTTCGTGACTTCAATTTATGGCAGGCCGATAGCGGGAAGCTGGGAGACTCGGACTGTGAAGGGTTTGGGCAGGTTCCTGATGCATCTTGGGCGGTCCCGGATATCTGTTCCCCACCGACGGCATCAGGACTCTACTTTCATGATCATTATCATCATCATCACAGATTAGAGACACCTGCATTTGTTCCTGATGTATGCTACTCAGCCTTCCCAGATCTATATCCTTCCCAACAAAGTACAAGTAGCCAAAAAAAGAGAAGGCAGTTCTAGCGACTTGTCCTTTTCATGTGGTCCTCCATCATTGTACCATCATGTGCATTTTTTTAAATGGGTGTTTGCTATTTAAACTGGTTATCATTTTAAACGGCCACCTACTGAAAGAAGTTTTATATTATAACCATCATTTTATTCTTTCTCATAAAATAGCCAAAAAACGGTAAGAAAACGCAACAAGACACTTTTTCTTGTAGTGGTGCGAAATGTACACGGTGGGCCCACTTTTCATCTGGGTATGTCAGAAAACATCAGAAACCGTAAGAAAAAGTATCGTGTGGTGTTATTTTGCGATTTCTTGGCAATTTTGTGAGAAAAAGTTTGGACGTGGTTAAAAAATAGAACTTTTTTCTCATGTGGTTATTTATGATGATAAGTATATTAAAACCCTTTTTGGGGTTAAATAGGGGATTGAAAATGTAGAAAAGAAAGTTTGACGTTTGGATAATAGTAGGAAAGGGGTTCAAATAACATGTAAAAGGTGTTGGTTTAAAATACCAAAGGTCAGTGATAGTTGGTGTGATGGTAGATTGGTAGGTGTGCCAGTTGTGTGTGTTTGTAGCATTAGTTCCAATTTCCAAAAGAAGGGTGTGTGTGTGTGTGTCGTATCTGCTTTTGTTTTAGCATCTCGTGGGTCACAACTCGTACCTTTTGTTTTAAGTATAACATTGCGTGTTACCAATACCAATTTGTTGCATCAAAGAAGAAGAGCAAATACCAATACCGATTAATTGCATCAAAGAAGCAAATACCATATCCTTTCCGGTATAAGTGGATGGTGTAGGGTTCGGCTCCATACATCACCCACCTGGGACATTCGACTCCATACAACACCCATCTGGGACAGGTCAGGTGGTTGGCCTTGGGTATGATGATGTCATCATGCAGGGGTGGACGTAGTAGCAAAAAGGAGGAGGAAGGGACCCAGTCAAAAACTTAAAAAAGAAAATTCCTATGTTAAAATTTAGGTTTTACATGATTTACTTTTCACTTTCCCCTATTACATTTTTCCATGGACCCTCCACCCTAATCGAAATCGTTACTCTAACCAAAAAAATCTATTGAAATCAATCAAAAAAAAATTATTCGAAATCGACAAAAACACTAAAAAAATCTCTCGAAATCAACCAAAAAACTTTAAAAATCCCTCGAAACGTTGTAATTAGATTAAAAACACATCGGACGATTTTGTGGGCCTTTAGTCTACCTTAAAAGTGATCCCACTGAATAAAAATCCTGGATCCGCCACTGTCATCATGCCTTTTTTTCAAGTAAGAATCAATAGCATGATGTATAATTCTAAAACCTATGATATTTCAAAATGGACAAAATTAAGATTTTGGAGCTTTTTGACTGGAATCATCCATTCATGGAATGAAAGTAGGAATTGATCAAATTTTATTTTATTTTATATATTAATGTTCTATAACAGGTTTATCTAAAAGGTCAAATTGCATAATTTTAAAATCTATGATATTAACGTACTTTAATTTGATTCCTATTTTGGATAAAGTATTTTTAAAACTTCTATTTTGATACTTAAGATGTAAAGTTTTAAACATTTAAGACCCGAGTAATAGGTTGAAACATTAACCAGTTACCATGCTGATGTGGTGAGTGATAGGATGAAATTTAGTTGAATAACAAATAATACTGAGTTCGATACCCCATCACTCACTACATCAGCATGGTAACTGGTTAATGCTTCAATCGATTATCCGAATACTTAAATGTTTAAAATTTTATGTTTTAGGTATCAAAATAGAAGTTTTAAAAATAAGTTATCCAAAATATAAATCAAGTTAAAGTATATTACTTTTTCATATTAGTCCTATTTAAAATTACTATTTTATATAAAGTTTGTTGGAAATTACATTTTTAGTTAAAAAAAACTTGTAGGGGTTTTAATATTTTAATAATATAATTGGTGATGAAATACTGAAAATACTTTTATTTTTTTATTTAAAAAAAATTATAAATAAACTGTTTGGAGATGCTCTCTATTTCATTAAAAAATATAAAGGGCATTTGGCCTAGCGGTATGTGAGTCATTGGTCTTCTAGGAAGTCAAAGGTTCAAACCTCACCAAAGGTGAGGAGGGTGTATGAGTTTATTTGTTCTATTTGCCGTATATAAATATTATATACTTCAAAAAAAAACTTTGCCTTTCTTTTATCAGTAGATTGTTCTGCAAATGAATGATCGAATTTATTTGCTTATTTTTTGATTTCGTCACTTAAGACATTCATCTGTGGAATCAAATCATGTATTGGCCGATTTCAAATTTTTCCATTTACTTACAAGCCGTTACAAATTATATGTTCATAAAATGTTCGTCTTAAAATTTGTTATGGTATTTATGTATTGAATACTTTAATTACATAATGAATGATGAAATCTCAAAAATTAAGAAATTGTTGGAGTTGAATGTAATACTTAAGCTTTTGAATTTTAATTATCGATTTAGAAAATTATATAGAAATTGTGTTGGAGATGCTCAAATGACGTTTGTGCCAAATATGTGGGACCTCATTAGATTACTCTCTAAAAGAGTCATTGTTGGAAAAAAATGTAATTCTTCTGACATAGTTTTCTTCCAAAATAGGTTATCGGATGCACCGTTGCACGAACACAAGGTATGTGTAGCAAAGCGGGTAGAATAATATTAATAACGAAGAAATGGTTCTTATTCGGGTGGATCGCGATTATCGATAGTAGGATTCATCAGGGGAAGCAAATGTTTCACGAAGTTTTGTTGAGGAAGCATCATATGTTGATGTTGGTGATGAGTGGTTGGGAATCTAAGATGGTTGATGAAGAGAGAATTTATTCATAATTATGAATGGCTTTATTCTTCAGGCGTGGAGTAGGTGGTGGTGATGACTTTGGGAATAACTGAACAAATGTATCAACGAAAAAAACGAGGAGAGTTAATTTGGGACTGGAACGGTGAGATGTAGGAAAACATAGTGTTCCCAAAAAACAGATGATGAGATATACAAAGCCATTAAGAAATGGGATTCCAACATCGATATCACTTGTACTCAATACAACATCCCAAAAAATAGGAGAAGCATGAAGGCGGCTGAAATTTGGTCTGTACACGGTGTTAAGGATGACAAAACAAGCATACCCCCGAACTTTGAGAAGATTATAAGTTGGAGAAATATCATACACGACTTCATAAGGATATTTATTATGGAGAAGAGGTGTGGGATGTCGGTTGATAACATGCCTTTTGGATAAGAAAGTACTAATAGATTGATCAGGTTGTTGGTGCTTGTTATGAAATGCATAAATCATATGGTACTTACGGACTAAAAGCCTGGTAATATATAACGACCTTTAGAAAATCCCAAATTTCCTTTTCTATAATGAACAAAACAAATTGGTGGTTGATCGCTAATTTTAAAACGTTACACGCCTTTTTGAACTTGTCTAGGTAAGGCCCTCATGACAACTCTCCATAATTCATGCGACTGAAATTAACTAGTCATCTGATGAGCCTATACAACATAATTCGTTAGGAGTGACTGAAGTAGGGTGAGCTATAATAAGTGGAGCTGTCATGTTTTATAAGACAAGGTACTGAAACTTTTAAGATATCAGTTCAAAACCACAATCAACTAAACAAACACAATGATTATTGCAATAACTATGAAGCAACAACCAACATATAGACATAGCCAATATGCAAACTTCAAATCAGAACAACTAATCAATAATATTTGAATTAGTACCAATACCAAACAGAATAAGAACAACCAATAAGCAACCGAGAGAGAGAGAGAGAGAGAGAGAGAGAGAGAACATCAACAACAAGATAGGCCATAATGGATGAGAAGCGTAAAATTAGTTGTGATTATCGAGTAAAATTACACGTGAGAAGCATAAGAAAAGATCTTTCACCCTTGAATGCACATTAGGATGAGATGCACCGTATCAATCCATGTATCAAGCGCTATTCATGAATGAGTTTGAGATTAAAGGTGATCAAGGGTCATATATTTTCTTACACTTCTCACATGACCCTTCGTCAATACGGGGATTAATCCAGTGCATCTCGATCATCTCTTCTTGGTGCATCTCATTCTAATATAAATTTAAAGGTGAAGATCATTTCTTACAATTCTCACCTTAACTATCATTCTCACATAAACTCAATCCGGTTCTCCTATATTATGTTATATATTTATGTTTCAAACTTATTTAAAAAATCAATAATTTAAAATATAACAACATATTAAAAATACACATATATATATATATATATATATATATTATAGGTAAATAAAAAAATGATGTAAAAATAATTTATTCTAGTCACAGTATATAATATTATAATTTATATAAAATTGTAAAATATTCATATACAATATTTAAAAACAACTACTAATTATTAAAAATAATAATAATAAACATGAATTTAAAATATTTTATTTGTTGTTTAAAATGTTAATATTACGATTTGATTGGTCAAATTTGGCAATTGTTTTTGCTTCCCTCAGCATCAGCTTCAGCAACCTTTCATTCATCTCAATCGCCGATTCCAGGTTGCTGATCGCCCTCCTCCGGTCCTCCGCCACCACTTTCAAAACCTCCTCCATTTCCGCAACCGCCGTCACCGCCTTACCTAACTCCTTCCCGCCCCAATAACCGCCCCATTCCCCTCTCTTTCCAAAGCCACCACCGCCTCTCGCCACCACAACTCCGCTCACTCCTCCGATCTTCTCCCCAAAACCACTTATCATCTTACCACCTTCCACTTCCCATACACAAATCCCTCCGTTCTCACAAACCGTCAAAAGAGTACGTCCGTAATTTAACATCTCCATCGCCACCACTCCTCCGCCGTGGACTCCGCCCCACACCACCGTCTCTCCTCCTTTTGCAACCTGTTTTCTCGTCGCTACTTTAAGCCTTCTTTTGTATATCACTCCATCTGTTCCTGAAGCGTATAACTCCGTCTCCGACGGATCTAACGCCGTGCACCACACCGGTGACGGAAATTTCACCGTCTGGAGATGGATCCCGCTCACGAGGCTCCAAATCTTACAAGTCCAATCCAAGGAACTCGAGATCATGATGCTACCGGAACTTCCAATCCCTGCGGTTAATCCCGTCACCGACGATTCATGTCCGATCAACCTGTTGAAATTCGAGTATCTCGATTCTGTATCAAAGGAAGCATCTAGAAGCAGGAATATAGGAAGAACAGCTATCGTTCCATCGTCACTCCCGGAGAGAATCAACGATCCGTCAAAATTGCGTGCAAAGCAAGTTACCGGTTTTTCATGAGCAGAAAATGACCGGATTACGACTCCAGAAGGTACCGACACCGCATGAATCCTGCCGGAAATTCCACCGGCGAATAGATACGATCCGTCGACGGTAGCAGCAAGTGGAGCAACAGGTTCAGGAAGAGGAACATTTTGCGTACACGAGGGAGACCACCAGTAATAAAAACGAACAGAACCTGCACCAGTTTCCGGCGAAACATGAGAAACGGCGAATAGATCTTTTCCGACAATGGCGATGCCATTACGTGGACATCGGCTGCCATTAAAGCGAGCTAAAACAGTCCCTGAGTAGGGATCATAGGCGGTGAGTGGACCGTCAGGGGAAGCTATAAGAACAATTTCCGGCAATGGCGGTGGCGATGACATTGATCCAAAATCATGGCGACGATCATTGATGGAAGACAACATAAATAATCATCCAAAAACAACATCATTATCACCAAATTTGGAGGGTTTCAACTTTTGGTCTTTTTGATCATCAACTTTTGGGGGACAAAGATTGAGAAAAAGTTGTAGAATTTGCTTTTGTTGAATAACAAAATTTTGACTCAAAGCGTCTTCATGGTATAAATGTAGCGATTTTACGAGACTTGTAAACGATATCCGACGATAAAGGCATAATTTTACGTTTTTTTATGATTCATCGAAGAACACATTTTTGACGATTTTTTAGCTCGGTCTGCTCTTATTCGATTAATAAAATGGTTTTCTAAGCTTTTACTTTACAGGTCAAAGATTTAATTCACGCCTATTTAATGTGCGTTTATTGTGTGAACATACGACTAAAGACACCGTAGGTATTTTGAGTAAAATCGTTTCGTCTATTTGTCAAATAAGCTAAAAATATCATGTAGTAAGGTGTTGTTTGCTTGCGGCTTAATTAGGTTTATTGGTGTATCTGGTTTATTCGGACAGATTATTTAGGTTGTTTACTTACGGCTTATTCACATAGAACATGGTTTAATCGCACAGATAAATTTAACGAATTGTGATGGAATTTTATTTTGGAGAACCAATTTTAAATCTAATCGTTAAATAACTTAAAAGTCTCATTTATCATTGACTGGCTTTTGACATGGTTTGTTCATGGAGTTTTACTTGGTAGGATGGCAATGACATGGCGTTGCCTGTTGACATGGATTGATGACATGGGTTTTTATTAAAGATTGGATAATGGTGAAAAGCTGACTTAAGGTGAGAACTCTAGTAAGGAAATTAGAAGGGTTGTTAAATGGTTTGATGTAAAATGATTAATATTCTTATGATATAGTAGAAAATGAAATATAATTGTTTGATAATTATTCAAAACGAAATTAGGGTGTTAAATGGTTAACGGAGGCCCAAAATACAAAATCATCAAGAGAGTTTTAGAACAATTAAGAGAGATATTTTTTACCAATTAAAATTCACCTCTTAGCGATTTAGAAGTTGTTTCTTAATGAAACTATTAAGAGGTAAACAAACAGTCCCTCGTCCTTAAATGCACATTAGGATGAGATGCACCGTGATGCATCGAATTTATCCTCGTATCAAACACGATTCATGGATGAGTTTGAAATTAAAGTTGATTAAGGGTTCAGATTCCTTATTATGCTTTTCACCTTAAGGCCTTGTTTGTTTTTTATAAAAAAATCTTTTATCAGTCTCTTATGTCTTATTTGTTAAGAGATAGGGTCATTCAGACTGTTTGTTTTTTTTTTCAAATTTTCAAAGATACTCATGTCTTATTTTCCTCTTATATAGTAAGAGGTAAACCAACCTTTTATTTGCCTCTTTTTATTTCAAATCCTCAACAACGACGTTTCTCAATTGATTAATACAATACATTTTTGTTACTGTGAATGGCAACGGCGGGTCGTTTGATTCGAATAAAATTTGGAATGGATGCACTTGACGATATGAATCATTTGAAAAATAAACGTTTTCGTTCTGCTTTTCCCCAGCCTCCCCTACAGTAAAAAATTAGTTCGTACCCCCGGTGTCCCAACTTCACCTTGACGGTTAGGCCACGATGCCCTATTGATAAATCCACGAGTCTAGAAATTCATTTCGGACAATTGAACCTTCTCGAGCTGTTTCTTTTTAAGAACCAAAAATTTGTGCGCTAAAATAACAGTTAATCAATCGTTTCTCTCAGTCGATCCTTACAAAATCAATCATAATCTCTCTCAATTAATGTATTTTAATAGGATTTAAATATGCTAAACACCGTTAATGAGATATTTTCATTTAAATGAATGCTAATTATATAATTTAGATGTAAATTTCGTAACGATGATGAATAAATATGTGAAATTGTATAAATTTATCTATGAATTCAACACTATAACTTTTAATGATTAAAATAGATAATTTAAACAAATTCAGAAGTTTAACAATTTACAAAAACAAACAATCTTGTAATTCAGATTTCAAACTTCAACACCATCTCTTATGATGAATTAGTCGATTGTTTTTTTTTTCCATCTTGTTGGGCATCCTATGTCGGTTCTTACTGGATTTCGGTTGTGATCTCCTCTGTCTTCGCCTTGTAGATGGTAGGTTGATTTTTGTTCTGTTATCGAACAATGTTTGTTTTATTATATTATTTTTTCAAAAAATTATTTGGCAGAAATTATACTTTTTATCTATACTATCTTATTAAGCAAATTCATCAAAAGTCTTAAAGTCTTAAAATTCTAAATGACCAAGATACCCTTTTCATTTTTTAACTTTTTCACTTTTTCACCCATTCCTCTCCTCACATACACTCACCTCCTCACATACATTCACCTCTCACATACACTCACCTCCTCACATACATTCACCTCTCACATTCAACGGATTTTTTTAAAAATTATAATTTTAAATTTACATTTTATATCCTATAATTAGTTAATTAATTACTTTACGTCCTTTACTTTTAAATTTTTCATTTTAAATCTTTATCAAATTAACATACATAATTGTATATCAAATAAACATGTTTAAAAAATACATTTTTATTTTAACAAGTTACACCATTATACTCGTCTCGTTAATACTTTCGAAATGAGTCCAATGTTGAATAGTTTTTGACTTAATTATATTATTATATATTATATATACTGTGAAAAAATATTTTTAATGTTTACGGTTTATACTTTTATAGTTATTTATTTATATATATGCTATACATTTTGGAATTAGGTTGTCCAAATTGCACTGTATAATATGTTCTGAATTAATATGTTCTTGGGTTTTTTTGAAATATATATATACATGTATTAATTCAACCTTAATCTGAGCTTCTGGACAAGAAAGAGGGTAAGCAGTTGAAATTTTATTATAAAACTCATCTTTTTTGGTCTTTTCATGGCTTATGATCTGTCAAATTTGAAGTTTTCTTTATTCGTTTTGAGTGTTTATCTTAAAACTCAAGTTTTTGGTTTTGCTCTTGGTGTAAATTGAACACATTTGTGGAGTCGTTTAAATATGTTGGATTTTAAATATATTGGATTTTAAACTGTCATACAATTTTTTTTCATCGATAGTCTGTAATTGGAACCATAACTCTTATTTATTCAAATTGTATTAATATGTAAAGACCAAGTGTAACATATATCATCGTTAAATCTTGTCTTATAAAACCAGTGAAACTTCAAAATCGTTAAAATTCATGGCTCCCGCCACATTGCACGGATACACAACTAGTTATAATTATATAGCAAAAAAACAAAATAAATTAAAAAAATCAAAATATCAAAAGTTGGAAGAGAATAAGAAGTATAAATTTTCATTTCTTTCAATCAAGAATTGAAAAAGAATGGAATATTTGCCATTTATTTCTATGGCAAGTATATATCTATCTTTTTAAAATTACAATAATGCCCCCCAACTCAAGTAATTCCCAGACCCCAGTCATGGGTATTATGGTTATATCACAAATTTTTTATTTTCTATATAAAAATCCAATAATTGAATCATGATTTTGGCCTTCTTTCTTTCTAAGCCATAAGGTTGTAAAGCAAAACGTTCCACGTATCTGGAACTCCGGCGAGACACCAGTGGCTGCAATCCACGGGCCCTAAACCGTAAGCGGAGGGATGGCCGTCTTTCCGCAGCAGAGAAAGGGTAGTAATGTCGAGCAAAGTCACCGGTTTCTTGATGGTTTTGAGTGAGTTCTTGAGGACTGAGAGCGCCGGCGGTGAGACTCCGGGATAGCTCGAGCTCAGAAGAGGGATTTTCTGGCCGGAGCAGGATTTTGCCTTGGGTTCTCCCCAGTCGCTGCCACTGTGGTTTCAAAGTAAATTTAGACATCATTATGCTTTGCTCAGTTGTACTTGTTGTATTTACAATTGTAACATGAAACTTGATCAACCATAATCTAAATGTATACCTTCATACATACATACATATATATATATATATATATATATAGGGGCCTAATCAAATGAGAACTAATTAGTTTGTGGTAACTGTGAGAACCAATATTAACCACAAATCAATAGATAAATTAGGAAATTTATTATTTTCGCAATTTTGAATTAAAATATTAATGCAAGAATATTTTTGGTATTTTAAAACTTTCTTTCCTCCTACCGTCCTCCGGTGATACTACAATGATATCACAATGCATCATATATGTGCTTGGGTATCACATTGATGTCGTTTGTGTGGTCGATCGAAGATGTAACATAGTGGTATATATATCGTGATAACACATTTTTACACTTGAAATTTTACAAAAAAACATTATGAAGCTAAAAAAATTCTGAACCTTCACAGCAAAAATACTGTGAAGGTTGCCTTTTCACAGTAGGTGTTAAGTTTTAAATGTAAAAAGATGGTCTTACGGATCTCACGAAAACAGGCTGATCTCACATGATTCCATATATATATATATATATATATATATAAGCTTTTTCATTTGTCAACCAAACATATAGTAAAAACTTTGTTAATGAATTAAATTTCCAATCAACGGATTAGATTATAACTTAGTGGCAATTTTGTAATATTTGTTCATGAAACGCGGTTCATTTTAGGAATCATAAGTGAACAAAGGATCTTTTCAAAAAGTTGTAGAAGAAGTTGGTTAAGCAAACGGGCGGTCATTTTATGATACTGTTTATATATACAAAATTCATAAATGAACACCTTTGTAAAAGGTTCACAAATGAACCTATATGCCATGATGATTCACTTACGAACATAAAAAATACAAATAACTGGTATTTATTCTCAATAACTGTTATATTTATTCTCCCTAAAAATATGAGAAAAATCATAAAGTACAAAACCACCTTTGCTCATCAACCAAGGCATGTGATGCAACATGGAAAGGATTTAACATTTAATTGGTCCAAGTTTGTTCGTAAAGTTAACACTAATTATATGGTTAACAAATGATTTTTGTATATATAGAGAGAAGGAGAATCATGCGAGAAGTTAAACATTTTGTCAGAAAGGAAAAGTTTCAATATCATATATGATTACACTCTTTTAGATGTATTTAATCATATATGATTCAGCGTCTACGTATTGTTAATACAACATGTGTTTAATCATATATGATTAAGCTTGTGTATCATGTATGTAATCATATATGATCTTGAAACTTACCGTCTTCTTACAAAATGTTTGGCTTCTCATTTCAACCTACCCATGTATATATATGTATATATAATATAAATATAGTGTTATCTTCTTTTACAAACCTAGAAATTGGTACAAACTTAAAAAAAGTATTAAAATACAGTGTTTATACTTTATAGAGTGTTATTTCATATGTGAAACATTTAGATTTGTTTCGTTTGTGAAAAAAATTGTCCAGAACGTTTTACATATGAAACAATATTGAAAACGAATTTGCAAATGTGTACGATTTTTGGGTTTGTAAATGATTATGCGCTACATACATCACGTATAAACAAACAAAAAAACTTACTTGTAATGTGATGGAGATATTCCTTGAAAAAACACTTGGGTTTTATTCGGAACAGTATTCGCATCGACCCATCGACCCCATGTCGTAACAGCCTTTCCAAAAGCAACTACTCGATCCATATCTTTGTATATACGACGACCTTCTTGTATATAATCAAATCTAAATCCACAAGTTAATTAGTGAATTGAATCAATAAAAATGACAACATATTTAAATAATGAAAAAATAGAACTGGGAGCTTACGGTTGGCTGGCACCTCTACGGTTCCACCAATGCCACGTGTTAAACACGAGGTAATCAACATTCAACCATAGCTTGCCAGCTGTCAAAGTATCCAACGTCAATACCCTCCCAAACGTTTTCTTCACTATATCCACAAGATATAAATTGTGATGGTATATTACTTTCACCCCATAATCCTACAATTATCACACAAATAACCTATTTTATTATAAAGAATTTCCGTTCATGATAAAATAAAAATTGTTCAAGAAAAGAAAAACAAAATAAAATGTGGGACCGAGAGGCATACCGTGAAGGTGTAAGTGGTCATATCCATAATCACTGATATATTGACCGCATAATTTGCGGTTGGCACTGACGAATGGATCATGCATAGCATCGACAACCACTGGTTTCGGCTAAGCGAATCTCCTACAAACATTATCGTTTTTCCTCTTAGTTTTTCTAAGAAGTTTCGACCATCAAATCTATTACAAGAAAGAAAATACATTAATTTAGGTTAATAACATTATTAATGGTTTCATTCATTATCAAACACAAGACAAATTATATAAAGTTAGGATTTTCGCATGTTTTTATGTTAACATTATAATATAAGATATATTGTTAAATGATAAATAAATATTATTTTTTCCAATAAGATAGAAGGCTATCACAACTTTATTGAAAAAACAAGACACTTGACGTTACAATCATATTAAAGTTGATAACAACTCATTCAAAAGTGAAAACGAGATACGATAATAAGACGGATTTCAAGTTAATTATAAAAGTTGACTTATTCTCTGATAATAATTGGATGAGACCCACATTAGAAAACGTGGTTCTTAATCGCCTAAAATATCCACCTTACAAAAAACATTACTTTTATTTACCATCCACGTCAATCTTGAAACATCGGTGACTAAACAAACAAAATCCTAAAAACATTGTAACACAGATAAATCCATCTTGACGCTCTTTTTCCAGTGTCTTTTTTTCCTGATTAACCTGGATAACCAACCCACCGTGCGAGTTGATTAATCTCAGGGCGACCACCTACTTTGCAGATAGCCCGAAGTCATCACATTTGAACCTCTGTGGCAATAAGGGGATTTTTGTTCCTACTTGGATTTGAACTTGGGACCTCCAGACACTTTTGATCTTTGGAGGCTAAGGTCAAATCAATCAGACACCATCCTTATGATTGTGTTTTTTGCTTTATATCATATGAACATAAGTATTCTGAAATCGATTCCATAAATCAAAAGTAATACCATTTGTTTGAATACAAAAAGATAGCTTTTTTTATGTAAGTTGTAAAATGGACCCATTTACATGCAAGTTGTTTCATAAATCACATCAAATTATAGGTTTTAAAAAAGGGGATTAAGACAAGACCTTTAATTCCATATTCATTGCTTGTACACATCTTTTTCTTTGTATTATTAAGAAACTTAACACAAAAGATAACCATTTCTTGTGCCCACCACAACAAACTCTCAACTAATTAAATCATAAATTTTATTATTTTTATAATCAACAAAATTAAAACATACATTAATTTCATAAATTAAAATTATGTAATCATTTAAATGAATTGATGATATCTTTATTTGAAAGTAAAAGGATGTTATATTGGTGTAATAATGATTGATCAAATAACTCAACATATTTATTGTTATTTTAGCATATTTATAACTTGGTATAATATTTTATTTCTTAATTTTTTTAATTAAAATGTTTTTTTAATCAATCGAACGTTATATTTTATTGAATTAAATCCAAATTTGGTTCTGTGGTTTATAACAAGTTAAGTCTTTGAAAAGAATTATTATTAACAAATAACGTTTCTGTAGTTTCATTTGTAAGGGATATGGTTCGTCCTGCTAACTCCGTCTATTAAGTTTCCATTAACGAGGGGCAATTTATCCATTACCCCTCAGTTCTCTCAACTTTCATTTTTATAACGGATTTGATTTCTCATACTATTTTTCATTTTTATAATACATTTGGTCCATCTCTCAACTTTAACTTTTAGGATTTGGTTCCTTTTTTTAATCAATAAAATGTCGTGACATAAACATATATCTGATAAATATAATAAATAAAATAAAAAAGTAAGACTTCGATGCCGTTTACCAAACACTTACCCGGTAAACATTTACCAACAAATTTAACACTGTCATTTACTTACCGGATAAGATTTTAGTCCACCAAAACGATATCATATGCAACAATTTACCCGGTAAGCGCTGACCGTGATAAGAGTCGTCGCCCTCACTTACCGGGTAAGACTTTTGGTCCTTGTCTCGCTCTTACCTCCGTAAGATTTTTTTATCCTTACCATATTCATCCGATAAAATAAAATGACTTGATGTTCATTTACCCAAATAAACGTTTGGTAAACAAGCCCTTCATTGACCCTTCATCCCCAACTTCACCAACCCGTGGCTCTCATGCCCCACTAGCCTCTATGTCAACCCTGGTCCCCTAAACTATCCCCCTCCCTATTCAACCAAAAAAAACCAATTGAATCTTACTTTTTTTTCTTTATATATATATATATATGTATGTATATATATATATATATGCATATAAGGAAAAAAAATGCGGTTAATTGTTATTTTTTTGAAGAAAAATGTACATGATAACTTTCTAATTCAATAATCCATTATCTTTGCTTATTCATTAGCAATACTTCAAATTTATCTGACATCTCATTCTACAAGTTTACTAAAAACTTGACTTTCTATCTAAAGATTCATCTAAAAGCTTACTGGATAAACCATTTGTTATATTATTAAGCCATCACTAAGCAACCATATATAGCTAACCAAAACTGTAAGTTTCATTAAACTTATTAAACTGATTACAAATATCGCTTCATGTGTTATAGTTTTTCTTTAAAAATATTTTGAAGATTTTAATGAGGTGTTTGAGATTGCTTATAAAAACAACTTATTGACTTATTTTTTGAGTGTTTGGATAAATAATGTATACCGATACCAAATTGATAATAAACAATTTTTAATAAATTAAACCTTTCTGACTTATAATAAGTTGATAAGTATTTTTATAAAAAAAAACATAAATTATTTTAAATAAACAATCAAAACACCCATAGATTTAAATATTGTATTAAGTAGATATATGTATGGGAGAGAGGGAAAGAGTAGAGAACCGAGGAAGACATCCTCTCCGTGACACCTCACCTCGTACATTGTGCCATGCCTTTTTAGTTGTTACCTTCATTACATTTGACCCTTTCTGTCGGACTTTATTTATTTATTACTAAATACATATTATTTAATATATTTCATTTTAATTATTTACTAAAATAATATAATATTTTTAACTGAAAACATTATTATAATTATTTTATTTTTATTATATTATTTAAGGGTTGGAAAAGTAATATAATAATCAGTCCGTGAATCAAAGACAACTCTTCCCAATCGCATTTCAGATCCATGTCCTCAATTTCATGTTCTCAATGATTTTCCCTTCTTTTGTTTTATTTGATTTTATTTATATTATTCTGTCGGTGGGAATTTATAATTATAAACAATTTAATAAATTATTTTTCCATCAATCTTAAAAGAGTTATTAAACCGTAGTACTTCATATATTTTGTCATCTAAGGTTTCATTCATATAATCATATCAAAAACTATATAATAATATTTATATACATATAATACACTGAACAAAAATACACACACATATACATATAAGGTTAGGTTCACGTGAGACCAACCTGTTTTCGTGAGACCCGTAAGACCATTTTTTTACACTTGAAACTTCACAGCAGAACGCTATGAAGATAAAAAAAGCCAAATCTTCACAGCAAAAACATTGTGAAAGTTACATTCACAGCGTTTTGCTATGAAGTTTCAAGTGTAAAAAAATGGTTTCACGAAAACATGGTGGTCTCACGTGATTCCAAGTCTATATATAAGGGGGTTGAACTTCTCACTTTCTAATATACCAAAAATCTAAATACCACTAAACCGAAGACCCTTTGATACATATATCTAATTGATGGTATTTTAATTTACATATTTGAATTTTAAGTATGTTTAAAAAATTAATATCAGATCATATATACTCAATACCAGCTGCTTTAAAAAACCATATACCATATACAGTGATTTAGGTCAGTAAATGTTATTTGTTATCACGGCTCTTATCTTTTTAGAGTTCTTTTAGACATTCGTGGTCGATATTGATTCTTTTCGAGTCCTTTTGGTTTCATTTTTTTTAGTTTTTATTTCTTCTTTTGTCAAGCAATAATTTTCAGATGATTTGACTTTTAATAATTTAAATTATAATTTTTATGATATTGACATGTTTTTTGTATAGAAAAAACGACACTATTGTTTTTCTTTAATGATTTACATCATATCTTTTTCAAAACTTTCTTTGTCATAATTATTATTAATAACATTATATATATATATATATATATATATATATGTGTGTGTGTATGTGCGCGTGTGTGATGTTATGGATCAACAATGGTTGGAGACATAACCACCAAACGATTTGATTCCAAAAATTAATATAAAAATAAGTCCAAAATGTATTTAAACCAATTTTAGTCATAAATACAACAAAATAGCTCACAGCTACAAGTCTAAGAAAGTCAAATAAATTTAAATAACACCACCTAATACTATAAAAACAAGTTCATTTTAGATTTAGCAAATGGAAAATTAAAACTAATTGATTTCGTATGTTTTTCTGATATTATTTTGAAATTATAAACATGAAACATAAGATAGCTTAATTGATAAAGGGATGTGACAACTTTATCTAAAAAACAAGAAATATAGTTTTTCACAAAAGAGCTTTTAAAACAGGTAAAAGTAACGGGACAAACAGATAAAGAAAGGAAAACAGTAAGAATATACAACGAAAATATATATCGTCCGAGGTCACGTCATTACATGTTTCATTTTTTATGTAAATTGATTATATATATTAGAAACTTTAAATATTTTAGATATACTAAAATATTTAGTATGAATATTATTGATCATGAATGTCTGTCACAACATTTATCATGAATATTTTTTGACATTATTTATCATAAATACTTTGTTCTTAAAATATTTAGGAGTTGTTTACCAAATACTTATCCGGTAAACATTTACCAGTAAATTTAACACTATCATTTACTTACCGGATAAGATTTTAGTCCACCAAAACGGTATCGTATGCAACAATTTACCCGGTAAGCGCTTACCGTGGTAAGAGTTATCGCCTTCACTTACCGGGTAAGACTTTTGGTCATTTGTCTCGCTCTTACCGAGTAAGATTCTTGATCATTACCATATTCATCCTGTAAGGTAAAATGACTTGGTGTTCACTTGCCCAAGTAAGTGTTTGGTAAATGACCCGTATTTCTAAATGAACCTCTCTCCAATTATTTACTTTAAATAACTTAAAATTACCTTTTTAAGCGGATTAAACAAACTAACACATGATTAAGAGGTGATTAAAGACAGGAATCTATTTCCACCCAATAAAACACACACTCATTGTGAACACAAATTCCCTTTCATGTATTGACAGCTAAGATGCACCACTAATTTTTAAGTGTGGGGGACCTCCTCTTGGTGGAGGGAAAATGAACCGCCATGAACAGCCATCACCACTACTAGCTGCCATGAACAGCCACCAATGGCGGCAACAGACAGCTACTAACAACAGAGATATAAAAATACCAGCAATGAACAGAAAATGAACAAATGATAGAGATCGATGGATGGAGAGGAGTGGAGGTCGGAGGAGGTACCTGGATAAGCGGCAGCCGTGAGGTTGCCATCGGTATTTGAGATACAAACGGTCAGGACGGCCATTGTTGACGCAGTTGAACTCCTTTTCAAGGAAAGGACATGTGGATTCATTGTAGAGTGGATACGATTGATCTGATACCCAATTTCCTTGAAACAAATCACATCCATTCTTCGCTGCATCGATTTGAATTGCTCCAAACTCCATTAATGGCGATAGAATGCTAATAATCACTAATAACACACCGAAACTGCTGTTTTCCCTCAATCTCATTTTGAATCTCCCTCACAAAAACCAAAAATTGCAGAGAGAGAGGGAGATGGAGGGAAGTAGGGACGAAGAACACTTTTTATTTAATTTGTGGCTTATTCTGTTAATGAATGTGGAAGGGTATTTATAGGGGTTTCCATGTGATTCGTAATTTTACCATAAAATTAAAGGGAAAATATTTATGTAATAATTATTCGGAATATATGTTTTCGAAATTATAAATCGACATATAAGCATATAACTGAAGCCGTCAGATAGATACAAAAGCTTGTTTCAACTCTATTATGAATAGTTTAACAATCTTTAAGACAATGGTTAATATAGGAATGATGGTGTAAAAATAGAGTTGAGTTGAAAAGTGTAAAAAATGATCTGGACCATTGATATTTTTAATCTCAAACCAACCTATTAATTGTGTTTTTGAAGAAAATTGATCTGGTGTTTTTCATCAGTGTTGATCTAGTGGAACCTTTCATTTAGGTTTGATCCAAATGTGAAGGTTTCTTTTAACTCTTCTCACAATAACTCTCATTTTCATCGAAACCTCATCCATGGTTAATAATAGTTATAGTTAACTACAAGGATGATGTCTGATTGGTTTGAGTTTGACTCCAAAGATCAAAAGTACTAGAAGGTCTCAGGTTTAAATTCAAGAAAAAATAAAAATCTCTTTGTGGCCACGAAGGTTCAAATGCGATGACTCCGGGCTATCTGCAAAGCAGGTGGTCGCCCTGGGATTAGTCGGCTCGCATAGCTGGTTGGATATCCAGGTTAATAAAAAAAAATAGTTGTAGTTAGGGATATATAAGTGACTGGTTAATGATTTTTTACGGTAAGGATTGAGGACCGGTTATAGGCGAAAGTCTGTTTTAGTCATAAATTTTGAACCTAGGGAATGAGAAAGGTCCTTAACCGGTTAAAAAAACCCTGGATAAAGCTCGAAAACCGGTTATTGATTAACCAAAAACCGGTCCGATAATCGCTTGATAAAAGTTTGAAAGAGCCTGGTCAAAGTCAAAAAAACTCGTCAAAACCCATTGCTTTTACCATTGCAAGTGTAGATAAATTGTTGAATTATGTAAATATTGTGTTTTCTACATTTGCAACAGAAAGGAAAATCCATTGACCGATCCCATCATCTCCACCCCGTAGAAACTACGAGATTACCCCAAAGACATAAAAACAACAAAAACTAAAGCAAACATATAATAGCAGATTCTAAATTTATTATTGTTTTTAAGTTCCACGTAGCATATATATAATCTGTTTAGTCTATAAAATCTATATAAGATATCTTCATCTGTATCAAACAATTTTAGGTATTTTCAAAGAGCAACCGCAATCCTAAAAGAATTGATAATAACACTAAGGTGCCGTTTACCAAACACTTACCCACTAAGCATTTATCGGTAAAATTTAACACTATCATTTACTTATCGGGAAATATTTTAGTCCACCAAACGGTATCGTATGCAAACACTTTACCCGGTAAGTTCTTACCGTGGTAAAAGTCATTCCCTCACTTACCGCGTAAGACTCTTGGTCCTTGTCTCGCTCTTACCAGGTAAGATTCTTGGTTCTTATCATTACGTTTTGATACATTTTATTTTTCATGTCATGACTGTGTCATCTAAGACATAAAGTTGATTTTTATATGGAGGTGTTTCACTTGTTATCAATTAAAATGAATATAAGATATCGAGATTTTGAAAATACATACGGATAAAAATCATCGTTGCATTAAATAAAAATTGTTATATGTAATAAATTGTACTTTTTTAACACATCATATAAAAAGGTCGGTTGTTATTTGTCATGGAATACTTTATACATACATGGAATTTGTTTCTTGCTCTTTTTGTTATATTGCTTTCTTGTATTTATTGTTCATAATTTCTTTTTGGAATTTATATTTTATACACTTGAAATTATTTATTTATTGTAAAAATGTTTATATCGGATTTATTCATATTATATGTAATGATAAATTAAAATACTCGAATGACATTACAAGTTCTTTAAAATTCGTATTTTGGGAGAATAATATGTTTTTAAATTCATTATATTAATTAGGGGTGTTCAAAAACCCGATCAAACCAACTCAACCCAACACGAAATAACTCAACCAAAGCAACCCGATGTCTAATCGAGTTGTAATTTTTTTAAAGTGTAAGTATTGAGTTACTAGTATTTGAACTCAATCCAATCTGATGAACTCGATATCTTTTTATTTTTTGAATTTAATATGATTGTTGAATTTCTAAAAAAAATATAGACATTAGACAATTACACTATTATGTACATTCTTTATATACACATATTTTCAATCTATTCACATTTATATATAACTCATTCGTATATATGTTCAGTAACTGTTAACATATATATGTAAATTGAGAAAATTAACTGAATATGATATACGTAAGAGTTATTTATAAATTGTATCAAACGGTTAATGATGAAAAAGAATTTATGAGTAAAGAAATAACATATATTCAAAGTTAGAAAAATATTTTAATGTACTAAAGTATCAACCCGACTAACCCGTACGGTTTGGGTTGGGTTGGGTTATGATTTTTTAAACCGAAAGCATTGAGTTGGGTTGTTCAATGGTATTCAACCCGATCAACCCAACTCATAAGCACCCCTAATATTAACTGATAAATTCATAATTTCTATTAATTAATTTGGTCTGGGAATAAGATTTTTAGAAAGTTCGTTACGTTAAATGCCAGTTTTGATCAACCTTATGGATAATAGAAAAAACACAGAGTTTATTAGTATGTTTTAGTGATTTTTTTAAATGAGCAAATTACATGAAAATATAAGGTATTTATAAACTTTTATTTTGATACTTTAAATGTTATATCTCAAATATTTAGATCAAAGTACGTTATATAAAATAAGAAAATTAAACCAAGGTATGTTGCATTTTCATCCATCATCAGATATAAATCAGATACCTACATGTTTATAATATCTTATATAAAATCTAAAATAAAGATTAAAAAACATTACATAAAATAAAAACTAGAACAAGAATTGTTGAAATTTTATACAATTTGTGTTTTTAATTATTACTTTCATCTCATTTTTCCTTTTAATGTTGGGTTCCTTTTTCCAAAAATTACTTGTTATGGAAATTACAAGATTTTTATATCAGTCTCTGTTTATATCGCTCGAATTATAATAGTTTCATTTTATTTGTAATTGTTGGCATCATATTTCAAGATTTTAGGAGACGGATTGTACCAAATAGTCGTTAAAAGTAGGTTATCTATATCAACTTCAAACTCTTGAAATCCTCCGGCTTAAAAAGTCAAGTCGTAGCTTTATAACCTCTTATCACAGATGTTGTGTTGACGATTTAGAGGAACCACTTCAAAGCATAAAATGGTTGTTCTTGGTTTCAACCCTCGACAATTGTTCAAGTTTTGGTCGATATATCTCAACCAACATCCTCATTTTTCTTTATTCGTCAACATATCCAAAAATCTTGCCCCCTCTAACTCTATAAATCAGACTAAGGGGGTGTTTATTTGCGGCTTAATTAGGCTTATTGGTCTATCTAGCTTATTCACACAGCTCATTTGGGTTGTTTACTTACGGCTTATTCGCACAGATAGAAATTATGTGGTGTCCCCATTCAACCACAAAAATGACACCATACCCCTTATTTAAAGCACCACCTCCTTCCCATATGAGACACCCAATCTTCGGCTTCTTTATGATTTTTTGTTTTGATGTTCAAGTAATTAATATTGGGGGGTAAATCGGTCATTTATGTTATTCAGACTGTTGGTTCAGATAAGAAAGTAAACAACAACGCTCATTTATCCAAACAGACAAATTTATTCATACATGACTTAATAAAAAATTTGATAAACAGTCCCTAAGATTCAATCAGCTATTACAACTCACAATTTATAACTATTTTTTTCCCAAGAACTTTGGAGATATATATATTTTATTGATAATTATTGAAAAATTAGAGAATAATGGATGTTCATGTGAAGAGAGGAAACACCATTGATGACACTAACACATGCATGGCGGCGAACCACATGCTTATTCTATGACCTTACCAATCAATTCCCAATTAATCACCCTTCACCTTATCTCTTTGGAAAGGATAATCACAAAAATATCTAAAATTGAAGTTCCAAATGTTTGTTTTTAGCTTAATAACTTATTAGGTTATTTATACATAATTGTTTGATGGTGACTTAATGATATCGAAAATGACTTATTCAGTAAATTTGCTCGCCAAGAATATAACCCTATAAGATAAATGAAAGTGGTCAATCTTGCCAGTAAACGCTTTCCCAGTAAGCATTTGATAAACGACCATTTAATGAAAAAATAACCTTAGGTTCTCATTTTATCATTCCTTTTTCAAATTAACATAAAATAACTATTTATTTTACAAAACACAAAAAACCCAATTGTGGTAGATGTACCTTTTGATATATTTCGAATCTTTTTAGAAAAATACAAGCAAAACCCTCATTTTCTTGTGAAAATTTGGATCTTTGTTCGCATTTTTTGCAAAATGGGTTCACAAAATCACACATCTTAAAAAGTTGATCATTTTATGATGAATCAACTCTAAATATACCTTAGATGCATCGGATTCATCCTCGTGTCAAACTCGATTCATGGGTGGGTTTGAGATTAAAGATGATCAAGGACGAAGATGTCTTCTTACATTTCTCAGCTTAACTCTCCTTCTCACACGATCTTTTAGCTCCGACTACAACAGTTATTGTTCAATAACTACCTTTAAATAAAAATCATATATTAAAAAAAATATAAATATGAGTAAGAAATTATTTAACAATAATAGAAAGTTCATTTAACATAACCTCTATGTCTAATTCTACATCGACGTAGACGGAATGGGCAGAACACCAAATGTGGTCCCCAACCGGATGGTGTGCTATCATTTCATGCCTACAATGGTGGGCCCTACATAATAATTTTACAGTTTCGGCCCCACATTTATGATAATAGTGCGCTCAAGATCCTTGCATTTTCAAAAATAGAGCCGACAACCCCCACAAAAGCGCTGTAAAAATTATTTTGCAACTCTATTCTCCTCGAAACAAAAAGGTCTGAACTAATTTTCTTATCCGCAGGGTTAAAATAGTAATTTCAATCTCTTTTTTTGTGGGCATTAAAACTAGCTCATACCCAACCTATAAATGGGCTGGGTTTGGCCACAGAATAACGGTTTAGAAAACAAAATTTATATAAATTCACAAAATATGTAAAATCTATATTATATTATAGAGCATTTGACAAAAACTCTTAAAAACTATTTTTTATACGTAAAATACTGTTATTAATGCATATTACTTAAAACTCAAGATTGCAAGTAAATTGTGCATAAATACAACTTATTAAACTTCCATATTTGAATTCATGTAACTACAAATAAACATAATTTTAACAAGTCAGTTGAGACCCATCTATTTCTTTGAGAATAGTAGTCCAAAGCCGCTTTTCTTGCGAGCCGAACAAGGTAGATCTAGTGGGCCGTCCCGTCCATGAACAATTGTGAAACAAAAACAACCTTTTGTTCGACATATAATTTTATAATTGGTCAAATAATATGAGTGATCAAATAAAGAACATCGGTACAATTACATGTGATTTTACGTTAAACTAAAGCGTAAGATCACATGTGATTATGCACGATAGAGTTTTTAACGGGTGGATTGGTCCGCTAGATCCGCCCTATTCGATCCGCTTGAAAAACGAGTTTGGATTATCATTCTCGAATAAATGGACGTTTCAGACTGACTTGTTAAAATTAATTGATGAACATAGGCTTTGCAAAAAGAAAATTGGATAGGCTCACTCAGCCCGTTAAATTTTTTATAATTATCTAACTTTTATAAATTATGTATATTTAATGAAACAAAATTTTCATAAATTATGTATATTGTCATGTATTTACGTCTGATTTTAAGTTGGAAAAATTGTTATATATGTTGAATTATTTTACATAGCTTGTTATTTTAAATTAGTTTTGTTTTCTTAAAAATGTAAAAATAAATAGGCAAGTCTGGCCCGTTTATAGGACGGGAAAAGATTAAACCCGTTGGACAAGAAAAATAAGTTTGGCCAAATCCAAACTCACACATGATCAACTCTAACGCATGACATGGACAGACCCATAGAAGGCATACGTTGCACATGCCACCGTGTTATCTCTCTGCCGAAGATTAAAGTTAAATAAGGTGCCACCATATGATATTCAAAAGTTCAAGAGATACAATTGTACCTCGTAATCAACCAAAAAAAACTCTTAAAATCAACCAATAAAAACAAAAAAGCCCCTCGAAATCGATAAAACAAACTAAAAAATTTCTCGAAAGCAAGCAAGAAACTTTAAAAATCCTTCGAAATAGTGAAATTAGGCTAAAATCACATCAAACGATATTGAACGTTAATAAAAACATGAAGACACGTCTATAAAAACCATGCATTTTTTAATTATTTTTTGTCTATATTATATGGTGCCACCGTATAAAAATATTCCTGGGTCCAACCTTGACGCACGACCTAGATCCGCACACCTTCACGTTCACCGTGTACTGTAATCGAATATATTTCAGTACAAAATCGCACGTGAATAAGCACAAGGTCGTTTACATTTTCTGAAACATTCTCTGAAACGGCTTTCGAACGATAACAAGTATTCTATCGTTCACATAACAAACAATAGACTTATCCGTGGTCCAAGCGGACTCGTGCAAGAATATGTCGTTACAGTAATCTAGTAAGTTTAGGAATCGGTGCGGGCGATTGACATTTCCTCGATTCGGCTCTCATTCATACACTCAAGTTGCTTCATCATTTTCTCGCGATCCACTTCAGTCGTTGCGACACTTTGTTCAACATCAAATGCTCGAGCAACCGTTCTTCCTTCGAGCATGCTAACGACTGCTGACATTGCGGGCCTGTCGGTTGGAGAGATCGTAGTGCACAGTAGAGCAAGATTTATAACTACCGTCGCCTCTTGGACATCGTAGTCTGAACCCAGCCTCGGATCAACGAGCTCCATCAAATTACCCCCATTTTTCAAAGCAATGGCCTAAAATAGATTGAAATTTAAATCCATCTCCAATAGTTTTTCTATAATTTATTCAAAATAAAAAACCATATAAAATTTACAAATATAAATTTGGAGATTTTTATTTTCTCTCCTACTTTAGCAGGTTAAAATATCCAAAACCTTCATTTTTTCCGTTTTAGAGAATTTGTTCGAGATGCGCTCATAAGTAATAAAAGGTTCATGTCAATTACCCGATCAAGAAGAATAAAATGATTCTGCTTTGCCCTGTCAACGGTGTTAGCCACCCCGCTCACAATCTCTAAAAGAACGATGCCGTAGCTATAGACATCGGCTTTATCCGTGAGGTAACCACGCAATGCGTATTCAGGAGCCATATATCCACTGAAAATCGTAAAGAAAAGGGAAACCTTAAATTATCTTCGTAACCTAGCAATTATAGAAAACATGGTGTAAACTGGCATATAAATGACTCACTAAGTTCCAGCAATACGGGTGCTTATATGGGTGTTGTCCTCTTCATCAAGCTTAGCCAAGCCAAAATCAGAAATCTTAGCGTTTAAATTCTTATCGAGCAGCACGTTGGTCGCTTTGATGTCTCTGTGCACAATCTTCAATCTTGATTCTTCATGCAGAAAAGTCATCCCTTTCGCTATGCAGATGCAGATCCTGTATCGTGTTGGCCAATCAAGTTCTAACTGCCATTCTTTAGGCCCTTCAATCAACAAGGTTGAATAACTCAGCAAATAACAAGCTTCACCGCTAGGGGTGTTTGTGGTCCGTTTTGGGCGGTTTAAAGTAACAACATTTAACGAATTCCAAAAGACGGGAAGTGTATGGCTTACCAAACAGAGCACGGGCAAGACTGTTATTTTCCATGTATTCATACGCTAGCAACAACTGGTTTCCTTCGATACAACATCCATGCAACTTCACAAGATGGGGGTGTTGCAAAGCAGATATCATGCCTAATTCATTCAAGAACTCCCTATTTCCTTGCCTTGATTTGGAAGAAAGCTGTTTCACAGCTATTAAAGTGCCATCCGGCAATACACCCTTCATGAAATAGACAATGCTAAGTTCCAACATGGTAGAAATTTTTTTCAATATTGTATGAGAGAAGAAAGTAGTAAATCACCTTATAAACAGAGCCAAAACCACCTTCTCCAATCTTATTAGCAACATCGAAATTGTTCGTTGCAGCTTTAATTTGCCGCAATGTAAATGAACCAGTTACGCCAGTCAACTCTGTTGATCAACAATGGAAACATGTAAAAGAAACTTCGGAGAGATAAATCTAAAGAATATTGGGTTGGCACGTAAATACCCAAGTCTATAGTATCTCTGTGCCGCAAATAACCCCACCACCATAGAACTCCTAGAATTACGACGATACAGCAAACTGATCCAACCACAATTCCAGCCACAACCCCTCTGGACACACCATGTCCATTTCCCAGTCCATCTTCTGGTGGAACCGGATAATCTGAATAATGAAAGTAAGCAAAAGAAACGGAAAAACGTGAACTTGCTGCAGGATAACACCAGAAAGTAAATTACATAATGTTCTTATTTTGCACATCGTAAACCAATTTGAACTTATACTCGACTAGAGCATAGTCATTTTGGAAATCTACTATCATCATCACAAGTAATACGGTGTGAACTGCAAACCTTGAACATCACACCAAGCACAAAACTCATAGAAAGTTTAACAGCTTACTTGGATCGACGGAGATAGCAGAAATAAGAGGACCATATACTCCTTGAAATGGGATATTAGTTGTTCCTTTTCCAGCCCAATAGAGTCGAATTTCCAAAGTATTGGTAACGTTTACAGAATGAGTACTCACATATGCTTTCCCAACCCCACCTGCTTTGTCACTGATGTCAAAATCCTTCTCCACCAGCTTACCCTGATACAGAACCAATCATTTATAATGAACAATTAAGCTGCCAAAAAAGAACTGAAATGAATCCTAAATCACCATATAAGAAGGGTGAGGGTCAAAAGAAGTTGGTCGATGCCGATCTTCGTAAGTAAATAACTTACAGAAAAAATGACAGAAGCCGGTTTATTTTTACTATAGCATCAACTCCGACTCGGAAAATTCTCTAGTTGGTTAATTGCTATTATAGTGGATACGGGGAGGTTAAGGGAACGCTAAAAATGGAAAAGCGGGGAACCCCAATCAACCGTTAGATTAAGTGATCAAGAGATGTGATTAAAGGGGCGGTCACAAAAAACTACATCAACAAAATGATGATTTTATTATCTTCAATTTGGCATGCATATTGATATACTTTTTCATCTTTTTTTTTTTTGTGGTTTTCTGGTTTTCCAAGTTCTTTAGCGTTTTCCCCTCAACCCAACCCATTGTGGATATTTCCAGTTCAGAAACAACACTTGATGTTTGGATGAGATATATCTATGAGAATGTACCTGAATATAGATATCAAATACACGTCTTCCGAGGCTGCTATATGTTCCATCATCAGTAAGAAGGATCTCCGCAAAGTGAAGGCTTACGTTGTAGCTTCCATTGCGCATACAGAAACCATAATATGTCAAAGATAAGGCTGAGGTTCGTGCACTTTCGTACAATCCAGAGTTGTTCATCAAGACCCTAGAAGGATTTGGCAGAATATAATCATCACGGCCATTACCCAAGAAGTGACCAGTATTGCTAAATCCCCATCGACTCCCAGTCGAAGAGAAATGTGAAGCACCACCTCGCTCCACATCAGCTTCATATACCTTCTTTCCATCCTCAAATTGCTTTCCACCACAGTTGATATACAAGGAGGATGAATCTAATGGAAAAAAATTGAAATAAGAAGTCTAAATATGCATAAATTGAATCAGAATAAACATGTCATGTAAATTCAAGAACATATGAGAAATAATATGTAATTTTAACTCACTTGTTGCACAAACATTATCCTGCAAGCATGAGACCTGTTTACTGGCAAAAGGTACAAAAATGGAAAGAGCATGACACACAGAAAGGAACATTGCCAAATCTTTATTTGGATGATATAATTCATGGCACAGAAACTTACGACATGTTATCTGCTGAAAAGGAAGCAAAGAAGTTTCTACACACAAAAAAAAGGAACAGAAACTGCAAGATTTAGCTGGTATAAGAAACACATTGGGGACTATACTTTTGAAAAAGACAGAGTTGCTCTTACGTTTCCCGCATTTGACACCTTAACTCTCGTGAGCTTTCAAATGTAAGTTTGTTGTATGACAGATCACTGCAAGAAAATTGACAACATCAGTCACTATATCTACAACCAAACAAGGATCGTATTTAATGTGTCTCTGAACTGGAAACAACATGGGGGAATAAATAATATCAGAATATAGATGATACCACTCTTATTTATATTCCAGACATCACAAACACAATTTACACTCTTGAAATTCACATGATGGAAAAATTGAGGGAACATAAAAAGATAACAGTCAAATGCTCTGTCTAATACATATACACTTGAAACAATCACCTGTAAGTCATTTTTTGTATTTTTGTAGCAAGACTCCTTTCTCCAATTAGGAGAAAGATTGATAAGGTTATACAGAGAATGTTTTTCAGTAAACTGGACAGTGAAGTTTAATAAGCTGTTATTTCCTCAAAAACATAGAGTTCATAGGAGCCTATTGCTGACTCAATTGAGAATAGCATTCACCGCTTCTTATTCCTGGGCCTCATTTGGTGCAGGGCCGCGTATTGCCTCCAAGAAGGCAAGCTTACCCTTGATCAATGCAGTAGAACTAATAATTGTGAAAGCATACCAGAACATAGCATAGAAGATGAATGCTAATGCTAAAGGAGCATGAGAAACACAATATAAAGTAGTATTATTTTTCTACTGGCCTTAGGCGATACTATATAGTGTTCAGACGAGCTTTTTACCCTTTATTTCTTGAGATAAAAGATCTTATGGGTTGGATTTCTTTGGTGCAAGCATACCAAAAATAAGACCCTACCTTTAATTATATATCTATATACAATGATATGAAGGCAGACATCCTGCACCAAGCACTTCACCTGTATATATATGCATTGCAACATAATCGATAGAACAGAGTATGACCCGCTTTGCTTATTTTACTTGTACAGGTTTTACGGACCCGCTTTATTTATTTTACTTGTACAAGTTTTACAGTAGACATACTCACATATTCTTTGCTCTATCGAGAATCCAAGGAGGCACACTTCCAGATAGCAAATTTCCAGTAAGGTAACTGAAAAATCAAAACAATAATCATGATACCAGAGACAGTTAAAAAGAATATAGATGAAGGTGAGCTCTTGATTGCAATACTTTGTTTTCTCTCGCCCCTATTTGTTAAATAAATCATTAAACATGCATTTGTCCTTCTTTACATACTTCTTCATCCTTTCCTGTTATATTCAGATCAATTACTAAACTCGCATTTTTGCTTTTAGGCTTTAGTAATCTTTTGTACTTTCCAGTATGTGGCCATAAGTAGACAAATAATTGAAGCGTGATTACACTGCTGAATGTCACAAACTTGCTGTTAGGCTTTAGTTAAAACACACAAGATTCCTTTAGAAAGTTAAGTGGCAAATTCAACTCGCATGTTATGTGCTTCTATATTGGAACAACATGTGCTGTCTTTCTAGAATTCTTAAGTTGTGTGTCAGCCACTCAACCCTTACTTGTGCAAGATGGATGTTTAATTAACAGGGAAAGATTCTGTAGCCACAAGTGGAAATATAATTTTGCAGTTATACTGAGATCTCCCATAATAAGGACTTGGAATCATAAAATAATAAGATAGTTGCATCTGTCTTATAAAAAACATTTGGAGTCACGTGGTAAGATCGACCACCAGACAATGTAGAGTGTCAAATTATAATGCATTGCTTCCAAGCTGCTACATCACTAAGTGAAAGCAAGAATTATGTGAGATAGTAGTACTTTAAAAGAAGTTCTTACATGTACTTTGTGTCATTTAGAACCGATAAACTTTCAGGAATGGATCCATTAAGCTTGTTAAAGCTTAAGTCCCTGAAAGAGCAACATAAACAATGATGGTGTGAAATCTGGTGAAAATGTAATTAAATAAAACCAAATATAGTCATTTCTTAACACAGAAGTAACAGTCGTTAGAATCATAAGTTCCTGAAATATACCATTGAGAATTAAGGTCCAAATATTTCTCCCATCCACATTTCAGTATTCAGATTAAATGAATTTCCAGTAACCATTTCCAGATTTCCTGACTTTGTTTCACTTTTAACACCTCAGATCTTCACATCAGAATATATATATTTAAAGTCTGTTTAAGTAATAAACAAACATATTCCCCCAATCCAGAAGAAGTAAAAAGGATATGTTTTAGTTCTCTTTTAGCAATGTTAGGCAGGGATTGAGCAAACCTGTACACGAGCACGACACTAGTAGGCTTTGCCACTCGTGAATTATAGAAATCATGCATCATATCACATATAAACCGATATTGGTCTTATTCGTACTTGTTAAGATTCTTGAATCAAATGGTTGTGGGTTCAAGACTCATTTTTGTCATAGGTTTGTCTAAAGATATCCCTTGGCCAGTTGTTTATCAGTTGTGGGATATTAGTTCCCAGTCAGTTTGGTACTCAGTTTTAAGCGTGTGGTTATCTCATATTGTCTCGGTGTATACCTAGCCTCAAAGTAAATTTTGTAACTGTTTCAAAGGAAAAAGAAAAAAAAAATCATGCTTCAAGAGTTCAATTAAGGATTCACAATAGACAAGACATGTTTGTTGTTTATGCAAAATGCCTAACAGACTAAACCATGATGAATTATGCAGCTGATATGAACAAGTTTGGGCTTTATGGCATTCACACTGCCATAATGGGGGATCTTCATACACCTGGTACTGTTATAACCTCAACGTATGTCACCAATTTGTTCGATATGTATGCTGCTTGCCTTGCAATGACTGCTTAGAGTACCATGATGAATTAAATCCTCGCTGCCTACCCATCTGTGTCCACTGTCTGTTGTCATAGACACAATTCATTCCAATTTCCAAGAATGAAACTAAATTTCTAAAAGCTACTTAAAGGAGATGGTTTTTTTGTTTGTGTCCACGGGTTTTTTGTTTGTGATAAACAAGGATGAGAGGAAGTTGGAAGGAACAGAAATGAGGATGATTAGGTAGACCTGTGGTCGGACAGTGCTTGATAGATTACCGATCGAGATCTACAGAAATGAGAGAAGGAACATTGCACTAGCACAGATCTTAAGGCATTGCTATGGGGTGTGCTCAAAATGTACAAGCAAATTCAAACACAAAGGCAGGAAAAATCCAGTTACTTAGATTCTTCTTTTTATTGATTATATAACATCATCTTACCAATAATAAACATAAAAAAGACTTCTAGCTTATGTTGCTACAAAGAAACCTCCTTTATAACATGATAATTAGGAGCAAAGGTAAAAATTACTAACACGACTTTCAGATTGTTTGGCGCAAGGGATTTTGGTAACTCGCCGATTAGATTGCAACTCCTCAAGATCCTGGCAAGATTGAGTTTAGAATGTTTAAAAAAAACCAATAAAATTCGATTTATGAAAATCGTTAGAAAGTGATTCAACTCACAGGTTCTTGAAATATGTTACATTACTAAAGGGTGGACAAAGTGTGTCTGGTCCTGTCAAGTCGCTGATTCTCCTGCATCACTTGATTCAGTTAACACACTTACACTCATACTTGATCAAAAATGCATGCAAATCAAATAGACGATATATAAGGAATTACTGACAAGTCTGATAAAGTTTCCAAGAGAGTAATGCTAGAAGGTATTGGCCCCTCCAATCCACTGGCCTGAATCTTTCTGCCATTCCGAAAATTTTAGTTCAATCTAACTGCTAAATACAACAAGTGCAAAAAGAAACAATAGGCAAATATCTCACAACTTCCGGAGATGTGTCCATCCCCCTATATAATTGGGGATCTTCCCAGATAAATCGTTATCACTAATCTGACTGCAGAGGAATTGAAACAAAATGGTCAGTTTGGATGGGCCAAATATAGAATAATCAAATCCAACAAGGTAGAAAACAAAGTAGAACTCACAATTCCTTCATCGCCGTCAGATTAGCAAATGATGGAGGCAACTCCCCAGTAAAATTGTTGGAGTTCAGAAATCTAAGATATAAAAAAAAGAACACTCATACATTATCGATGGGATAATGAGATACAGAAAGCATAAACAACAATACCAACAGAATTTCATGAAGTCTTACAATCTCTCGATGCCTGAAAGGTTACCAAGTTCCTTGGGAATTCTTCCAGATAGCAGATTGCCCTCTACATTTCTAATCAATACAAATGAAACCACAAAACAGCAAAATGAAGTTATAAAAGTTAACATTACAATAAACTAAAAGAGATAGCAGATGATAAGAAGTTTTACAAAGTAGTGAGTGTGGTAATATTTCCAAGTTCCTTTGGGATTGATCCATATAAACGATTCCCGAGGAGAGAACTGCAAAATTTAAACGTATACCACCTTAAACATCACCATGTAACACCAACTCCCACATTTAAAAAAATAACAAAAACAAGTGAGCTTTTTGACATCAAACCCTTTTACTCTAAGGTGCGAAAACGATATAATTATATTGCAATCCAAACCCATGAGGAAACCATTCAATATTAAGATCAAAAAGCAAAATTGATATCCGAACTCAAGGTGTCAATCTAAGAACTGAACCTGTATATTAAAGATTATACATAGAGAAAGAAGTACATGTTTACAAGATGATCCATAGAACCCCATTCTCGAGGGATGGTACCACTGAGAAAGTTGCGGGATAAGTCTCTGTAGGAATGAAATAAACAAATCAATTACCAAATACAAATACCGGAAGTTAAGCAAACGAACAACAAAACCGAGAAAGGAGTGTACAGATTTTGAAGGTAACGGAGATTAACGAATTCTGGCGGGAGAGTGCCTGGTAGGCTTTGTCCTCTAAGACTTCTGCATTTCGTAGCAACCGAAACACCATTAAAAATAGTCCAAAATTATGTAATTTCATAAATTTCTTTATTATAGTATAGTATTTTCAGTTTTTTTATTACAACAATATACTTTCAAACTATTTTTTATTAGAATATTGTGTTTTGAAAAATTTACCTATTGAGTAACCTTTTGATTTAAATTTACTTATTATATCAGGTTTTCGTGCCACCTCATTGTCCGTGTAGGCTATCCACATGTACTATAATGATGTGACTTTCTTACTAAATCTTTGTAGTTTCAAAAATATTTTATTATAGCATCTACTAGTTATTATTAAACACTGTATTTTTATTTTAATGTTTAGATATTTTACATGTTATTTGATAAATATATTAGATGAATTAAAAAAATTCTAAATTATTCATTAATATACCAATATCAATAAAACTAGTAGAACACAACTTATCTCGCTAATATTTWWAAAAAATATGTGTTTTTTGAAAAAAAGGAAAATAAGAATTGTTTCTTTTTTACCAAAAAAATATAATCTTTTAAAGAATATATTATATCTGTTCAAAAAAAATTACTTGACGCATAAATATATTAAATTAATTAGATTTTTTTGAATTATTTATTAATATAAAAATATTAAAAAATTGTAGAACACAATTTATTTTGTTAATATTTTAGAAAGAACTTTAAAAGATATGTATTTATTTGAACAACATACAATAAGAAGAGCTACATTTTTTACAAACAAAATATATCTCGAAAATAATGTTTCATATTTATTTAATAAATATTTTACTCTAAGAATATTTAATTTGTATGCAACTTAATAAGAAAAAGTCAAAAAATAAATAAATGTTTCACTAATAATAATTTGAAATAAGTTTTTATTTTTATTTTAGTTAAGTCATCAAAATGATATGTCATCCACATCACTTCATTAAAGCCATATAAACAAAAAAAGTCAAGGGGTTAACCGGTTTAAAAGGTAACAGGTTACCTATTGCTGTAATGAGTAGATTTTTTAAAATACGATGCTTTAATAAAAAATAATTTGAAAGTATATTGTTGTAATAAAGAAAAACAAAAGTAGAATGCTATAATAAAAAAATTTATGAAAGTAGGTTGCTATTTCTTACATTTAACCCTTAAATATAACAATAAGTCGCTCTTAATTCAAATATTTAGAAACCCTATTCAAGAAACAAGGAACTCGTGGATCATCAAAAAATCAGAAATCCTAAACAAGAAGAACAACAAAGCGCGATTTTGACTAAATATAAGAAATGAAGGAAATACCTTTAAGTTTTGGTGAAATAAAAAATAGTAAGCAGTTTAATATATATATATATATATATTTTTACTTAAATCCTATTTTTTATTTCACCAAAACGTATTTCTTATAATTTTGACCATTTTTGTTTCAATTAATTGATACTATATTATAAAATAATTGATAGATATTTTTAAAAACTATTTTTTTTGTATGAAGTATCATTTATTGATGCATATTACTTAAAATTTGAGGTTACAAGTAAATTGTGTGTAAATACAACTTATTAAATCTCCATATTTAAATTCGTGTAACTAAATACAGATAAACATAATCAACTACTTGATAAAGATCTCATTTTAAATATTAAAAAATCTAAAATATAATTAGGATAATTATTGAGTTACTTATAACAAAATACTTAATCATTATTCTTATAAAAATAAATTACTTTGTTATTAAATGTAAATTAAATTATGATAAAAAAAAAATTTGAGTTAAAAAAATTACATAAAAATGAGAATGTTTAAAAAGTTAATTTGATACTAACATTGATATATTTTTTTCAAAATTTTATGAATACAAACATTATCGATTTCTCAAAATCACATAAAACCGTATTATATCGATATAGACAAAATAAATCGAAACATTATCTCGATATATCTCGCTGCATTACACGAGTATCCTTCTAGTAAAATTAAATGAATGATCACTATAATACTTAAGAGTATTTTTAACAGATTTTTTTATAATTCCTTTAAAATAAATAATTGAATTTTAATACCCTTAAAAAATTATATTTAACTAAACCGAGTTTTTTTATTTAGAAAATTTCAACAACTATATTATTAAAATATTATATAATCTCATAGATAAATCTTATTGGTGGAAAATATTAAATAACATTTATCTCCCTTCACTATAGAGTTTTAGATAATTCTCTATATTTGGAGTTTTCTTTAGGTTTCTGTATTTTAGAGAACAAGATAGAGAATCTGTTGGAGCAATATAGAGAACAAAAACTTCATTTTCCCTATTTTACAGATTTTGTTGGAGATGCTCTAAAGAAAGCGAGTGAGTAAAAGATTACATGCTGACGATATTGCAGATGCTACCGTTTGATGCACAACGGACATTATCTTCAAATGTCTCGTTAGAAGTTGCAGACACCCAATTTGCTCTTCGACTACATGGATCCTCTTGGAAATCCCAATTTTTACCCAACTTCCTTCCGATCTCCCTCAATGCATTCACTGCCATAAAATGAAACAAAAAAACAGTAAATAATGGATCTCTAGTTCAGATATACTTACAACACATGTTCGCATCTGAATGAACCTTCATCAGAGGGGAGACAAGCTGTGCCAATGGATACAAAACCAAGAGGGAGCAATGCAATACACAGAAATCCTAACAACATGGTCAGAAAGCAGTTTCGATCAACGGAGGAAGAACAGGTAACTAAAACACTCCGATCAAAAGGGCATATAAATATTAGATGCATTGTACGATGTGTTGTCCTATAACAGTCAACGAATACAAAATTAGTCCAAGTTAGAAAATGAACACACAAAGAAGACCAAGACTTGTTGACTTGAAAACACAATGAATTTTGATCACTTATGTCGTTTTCTAAGTCATAATGCTATGGTCAAACAAAACTGGTATTTGATTTAGTGTCGACGATGAAATTATGATGCAAATGTTGTAGATGTCTTATCAGATTTAACGATTGGTATTTGAATCAGTTGAAAAATAAACTGCACCGTGGAGACAAAGACTGTGACTTACATATATAAGGAAATTTACAACTTATGTCTTTTCTAAGTCATAGTTTATATGTCCATCTCATGGGTCCAATAAAATCGATATTTTTTTTAGAAAACTGTGGTTGTTCATACATATTTGTACGTATCTTAGTCGACATTGTTTAATTTGTCCAATAAAACCATAGATTTAATATAATTGTTAAGTAATTAATTAATATATGTAATTATTAGCCTTAATAGAATGTTTGATGACGATATATTTTTATGTGATTGTTTGCTTTATTTACATGTTTTCATTTTACTTCGTTTAAACATAATTGCTTAGCTAAAATCGTAAAATGATGTACCAAAGTTTCAACCTGACCAACCCGTCAACCCAACACATACAGTTTGGAGATAATTGCATTGGTTGAATTTTCAAAACATAAACATTAGGTTGGGTTTTTAAATGCCTTCAACCCGACCAAAACAACTTGTTCAATTTGTATAAAAGAAAGGCTTTATATAGGTTTTGTTAGGAACTCTAAGGGGCCGTTTACCAAACACTTACCCGGTAATCGTTTACCAATAAAATTTAACACTACCACTTACTTACAGGGTAAGACTTTAAGTCCACAAAAACGGCATCGTATGCAACACTTTATCCGGTAAGTGCTTACCATGGTAAGAGTCGTCGCCCTCACTTAACGGGTAAGACTCTCGGTCCTTGTCTCCCTCTTACCGGGTAAGCTTCTTGGTCCTTACTATATTCATCCGGTAAGGTAATGTGACTTGGTAAGCGCTTACCCAGATAAGTGTTTGGTAAACGGCCCCTAATTTAATTATTTATATAGATCTTGTTAAATTTGTTGAGAATCTGAGAGGTATACCCTATTTTTGATGGGAAGCCTATAATAAAATTATTTATTTTAATTAAAAATAAGAGTAAATTATGAATTTGATTCATGTCGTACTTGGATTTTTACACGATTAATTAGATCTTAAGCTTTATTTATTACGTAGAAAACTTGGTGATACGTATTTTTGCACGAATTTGATTCGTCGACCATCCAATTTCTCTGTTAACAACTTAACATCAAGGGTATTTCCATCCAATCTCACGTGTTTTACCTCCAACATTTCTCTCTCCACCCTCTCACCCTCGCATCATCGTCTCCGATGAAACCATTTTTGAGAGATGTGCAATCCAACACACCCTCTGCTCTTCCTCTCTTTCCCTCAAAACAACCATAGTGGTGGGTTGACAGTGTTGTGTACAGGGGCGGATGCACTCTTAGCTGGTTGGGGTCCTGGGCCCCAACAAAAAATATTTCACAAAGCTCAATTTTTTTTACTAATAGTTTTTTTATTTTAAACAGTTGGGGCCCCAACAAGAAAATCTTAAAGGCCCATCCCACTTCCAATCTTCCATTTCCTTCTACAGTACGCACACCTGAGAGTTGAGACCTCACTTGCCCTTCACTTCTCCAGACACATCACACCAGTAACTAGTTCCCCGCTTCGCTTCTGGCCTGGCTTCTTCTGCGACTGCGCTGCCGCTTCTTCTTCTGCGACTGGACTGCCGACTGCGCTTCTTCTTCTTCTTCTTCACCCGGTCACCGATCACGCTTCAGTGGATTGAAAGCAACTCCAATAATTTGGGTAAAAATTTTAATATCTAAATTCAAGTCTTTAATGTTTAGTTAATTCAATTTTGTTGTTTGCTTCACAATTGGTGATTTGGTAAATGTTTTATGTTAGGTTAATTTTGTAATTATATAGACAAATGGAAATGTTAGGTTAATTTTGTAAATTTGTAGATAAATGGAAATGTTAGGTTAATTTTGTAATTTTGTAGGTAAATCAAATGAAAATGTTAAAGGTTAATTTTGTAGGCAAATGGAAATATTACTATAGTCTATAGATAAAGATAAACCATTGTTAACTAGCTTAAATTTTAGGAAATGTTAGGAAATCCGCCACTACTCCTAAGCACTAAGCTGCTTGCCTGCTGCTTCTTCTTCGGTTGGCTCCTGGCTGCTTCTTCCCTACTGCTTGCTTACCTACTCGGTTACTCTAGTCTCTAATTTGATTTGGGTAAAAATTTTGATTTCCAAATTCCAATATTTAATTTTGAATGATTTGGTAAATGCTTTATGTTAGGTTAACCGCATCAGTTATCTTTATTCGGTTAACCGAACAGTTTAAGCTAAAAATGAAAACCCGAAACTTTTTTGGTTCGGACGAATTGTTCGGTTTCGAAATTTTTTCGACCCTTCTAAGTGTGCCCCCAACCATAATAGTTTCTAGATCCGCCACTGTGTGGGGGTGTGTTGCAGAGCGATGGGTTGCAGTGTGTGTCAGTGTGTGTTACTTGAAGAAGATGACCGGATTAAGCTGCTCGTTTGATTCTTATGGGTGAAGAGTGATTGTGGTTGGAGTAAGACAATGGGGATGTAAGAGCGGAGGCGAAGGTGATAGGTGAGACAAAGATGGCAGTGAGTCGTGACCGTGACTGAATACCAGTTTGGGGTGGTGGAAATGAAGGGGTGTGTGTGTGTCTCTCTCTCTCTCTCTCTATATATATATATATAGTTGAGTTCACGTAAGACCAATGGTTTTTCGTGAGACTCGTAAGACCAATTTATGTTCGTTGATCAACTTTATAAGCTAATGATCTAATGGTCTAAAGTTGCACGGTGACAATTTTGTAATTATTGAGAAGTCTTGTGGCGTTTATGAATGTTCAGATCTGGCGATTGTAAATCTAATCCAACGGTTGAGAATTGGTCTTACGGGTCTCACAAAAAACCATTGGTCTCACATGATCCCAAGTCTATATATAAATAAATAAATAAATAAATATATATATATATATATATATATATATAGGTGGGTTATTATACAATCCTTTACATTTGTATAACCAATACAATCCAATCTCAATCGTCCATTTAATATGATGAATATGTAATTTTATAGAAGTTTTGATTGTTTCATAATATAAAGTATTGATCATAATTAATGAACCTTATTTATCTTCTATAAATATTTAAATCATAATAAATGAACTTTCATCATTTCCATAAATATTTTAATTTATTGGATTGCATTGGTTGTATAAATGTGATGAGTTGCATTTGAAACAAACTCTCTCTCTCTCTTTATATATATATATATATATAGGGACAAGATCAAATGTTAACCAAAGTTTTTGTATTAATTTTGCAAACCATGTCAACCAATCACAATCCATTCTTCTATTAGGTTTCTATCATGTTCACAATTTAATTCTTAGGGTAATTGAGTAATTTCATTTCTTATGTAACTCCCATACCATTAAAGGGGAGTTACAAAATCATAAAATCCCTAAAAATATACATTTATAATATTGATATTTTTATTTATTTTTTAATCTTGATCTTCCATTTTTATTGTTTAATGAGTTTTTGATTCGTGGAGGAAACACGTTAGTAAAATCTTCGGTATCGTTYAAGCTATTATGGATAAACGAATTAGAAAAAAAATTGAAAACATTGAGAAGATTAAAATGGTTTATGGTGACAATCGGATTTCGAGTTCGGGAAGTGGAGAAATTAACCAAAGTGAATGACTTGGTAATGAATTAATATTTTATTAGACTCGTTTTAATCGAAATATGTTTATTATGATGTGTTGTGTTTTTTGTAGTTCATATTGCATTGATAACTTTTTTTAACTATTAATACCTACCTAATTCATATGTTCAAATGGAAGTATATGCACGACTCATTTTCATATTGTCATATTACCGACTTTTATGAATCATGAACCATTGTGTTCATGTTACTTATATCATATGAACACAAGTGTTATTTTTTAAGCTTGATACTAAATCTTTATATTTGTGTAAGTGTTTGCACCCGATGTTCATAGCGTCGGGTTTATGTGTTCATATATTTTATACGATATGAACAAGGGGTGAACATGATATGAACAAGTGTTGAACAACCACATAAGACCAGAAAACATATATGAACAAGGGGTGGACCTTAAACGGTGTGGATGCAATGCATGTATAAAACTCCAATTGACAAATGATCGCTCCTGAATGCGTTTATAATTAATAAACTATTGTTCAAAAGCTGTTCATATTATTTTCATACCTGTTTTTTTATTTATTTTCTTTCGTATATAAGTTATTCTTATTTTGTTCATATTGTATTCATAAATTTTATGCAGTCCAAGTTCATATATTTGTCAAAAAAAATTCGTATATGATACAATGGTTCATATATATATATATATAGACTTGGGATCATGTGAGACCAACCTGTTTTCGTGAGACCCGTGAGACCAACATTTTACACTTGAAACTTCACAGTAAAATGCTGTGAAGGTGACTTTTTAAAACCTTCACAGTGTTTTTG